CTTTTCACGTTCACTTCCACTTTAACTTTCACTTCAACTCATTCATTGACACTTAGACTCTTTTCTACATTCTAGACGCCACCCATTCTCGGTGTCTCATACATACACTTCATAGAGCAACCATATCAATAGCATCATGTTATCATACTTCCACCTATCTCATACCACATGCATATCTACCACGAGTTATCATATCATTCACTTTTCCTTAACAACCTAGTTTCCATTCACAATCAACATATGGGACAACAAACATTCACACAAATATTCGTAGCAATCATTATCCACATCAACACAAGGCAGTCCATTAAGTCCCATTTAACAGTGCGAGGGTTCTTATGCATCATGATTCAGTCATCTAACAACCTAGCTCCCATTATGATCTAACATCCTAACTTTCAAACAATAGCTAGCCAAACCCTAGTTCCACCATCAGCTAGAATAGAGAATAGGAGAACAGATCTAGGTCGAGTCACCTCACCTTAACAAGAGATCTGAGATCTAGATCTGGAACAAGAGGGAAGAGAGATGAGATCTGAGAATCTCCACACGCCCAACACCACCACCACCACCACCGGCTCACGGCGAGGAGAGAGAGAGGAAGGCGGCGGAAAGAGAGGGAGAGGAGAGAGAGAGAGACGGCGCGGAGGAGAGAGAGAAGGGTTGACGGCTAGGGCTTCCGGTCTCCGGGAATTCTCTGCAGAGCTTCGCTTTAGATTTGGAGAATGGGAGGCAAGAAGGAGGAGGCAGCTGTTTTTATAAGGGAAGGGGAGACAAACCCTAGGTTTTATCCTAATGGGCCGTAGAGAGGCCCATTTGCCTTAAAAAAATTTTGGGGCCGGTTATGGGTTGTTACAATCTCCCCCACTTAATAGAATTCGTCCCCGAATTCTGCGGGTCACTCAAACCACAAACATCCCAACCAACATGGCCATCACGCGTCACTTGTTCACTAACGGTTCCGTAACATCCTAGCTTACTAACCATACGGGGTCCCCATCCTTTTATATCTCATCCACCTTTCTAGAGTCAACATTTCCTTGCGGTTCCCGACTTTCCCATACTCTGTTTACAGTTACGACGAGACGTGCTCTTACTGCTGGTTCCGGAATGTCATCTAGGGTACTTCTACAATCTTTTACTCGACTAGCGTGTGGCGTCATCGTGAAATAAAAATATCTGTTGTGGTGTGCTGCCGGCTTGCCACCATGCTTCCGTTGCGCTACTCTGATTTTCCTTGCTCCCACTATGTTTCCATGTTCTTTGGTCTAGACATCCCCATCAGTTGATTCCACCATCCCAAGGTGTCTCTTCGCACAACCTGGCGGCAGTCTTGTGTTCCTCTTAGCCCAATCTTGAGTCGTTCCACTTGCCATATAATCTTGGATCTCTCTTCAACTTGAACTCCAGGTCTTCCCCACTTTCGATCGAGTCCCATGACTCCACCTGATCCCTCCCTCCAACCTCGTATTGGTACGTCCATATTTCCCATTCCGTTGTGGTACATATAGTTGTTGTAGTCACCCACCATGGCTTACCAGTGAGACGTGTAGTCATCAGTCTGAGAAATCCCTCCTATCCCTTTATGACCATTCACCGTTTTACCCCCAAGGAGATCCTCCATTTCATTTCTCATACTACCGCTTTCTAGCTTTCTACATCTCAGATTTCCCGATGTACCCCGGAACCCTGACATTTACCACCCAGTGACTTCTGAAAAATTAGCTGATGCCTTCAACCAATTTTCATTATGCTCCTCCTGATCGTGAACGATTCCATGCTCCATAACCTTATGGCCCTTAGCTTATACCCCATATTATTTTCCTTAACGTTCTCGTCTTAAAGATACCTTATCATCTTTGCAAATCTCATATCCTTAGGACGCTTGTTGGTATACCTTTAGAATGTTGTGAGCTTCATTTAATTCCCTACCAAACATTTCCACTTAGCTTCCTATGTAAATTCCAGCTGTAGCCCCCTAGCTCTCCCCCACTTTCGATCAAACATACCTGATTCCTAACAACTTCCTCTGTATTTCTCGTACCCGTAACTTCGTTTGTGCAGTGATATTGTGTCCTCCACCATCCTCCCATTTCAACACACGGGCATACAACCCAGCTCGGCAAGCTACCTTGGCGATCTCTCATTCCCATCATAGTACATATATTCTCCGGAGAAACTCTTTATAGGTCCACTGAGGATCTTCTAAATGGTAACACCTTGCATTTTCACGAGTCCCATACTCCAAACTCTCGACCGAACTCCAGTAACTCACTTTGTCACATATCATTCACGGACGACACACGGGACAAAAATAACTTTGCTCATGATCTTTCGAAAGCTAACGAGTGAATCCAGTAGTAGTTTAAGAGGTCGCGAACTCATCTCCGATCACATATCCCATCGAGCAATAGCCATACCGACAACGCCAAACCGACACTCGTCAAACCAGCACCTCATCATACTTCGATACCACCTCATCGACAGTGACATAACGCCCTAGCCTTATCGACATTCAATCTTAACCAAACTCGTTCTTCTGATCCTTCATTCCTCTTGGACTTGTTACGATCCATGTAGTTCTGTTGACCACAACAATACTTGAATTCGATCCTCTTCTTAGTCATTGACATTGGTAGAATTTACTTTTCCACTGACGAGTTCTATTTTTGAGTGGTTCATCACCTTCCAGTATGATGGTCCTTCAACTTCCACCAGCACAAACATTGATAGAAAACGCAGACTCACAATTACTCTGAAGGATTTATCATGGTTCCAGCTCATATAAAACACCATCCTCGGCTTTCTCGTTCCACTACGCGATCTATTCCTCCACAGCTATCGCTTGTACAGCCATCCTCTTCACCAGCGCAACCTCCAGAGGTCCCGGTACACCATTGAGCTCATCACGAATGTCCTTGCGTAGTCCAGCCTTAGATAACCGACACCCTTCTTCCGCAGTCTTTGGCTGGCCCTCTTAGCTTGGTCGAAGAAGTCCTCTGTATACCCAGCAATTGACCGACCTTCCTAAGCAATCTGAAGCACGGTCCCACACTGACACTTCCCAGTGAACACTCTCGGAGGCTCCCCAACACCACTCGGCATCTTGCATGAGCGGCCATGCTTCCTCGATGAAAGCTGGAACTGGACCTGACCTTGCAATATGCGATCCTACATTGTTATCCTCTGGAAATGTGGCATCAACATCTTACACTTTACTGTCTGCTCATGAGGCCGAGAACATATGAAACACCAGTTACCCTCCTCTTCGTGATGAATCTTACGGGCATGCTCCCGGCTGCCCCTACACCCGTAATGCATGTGCAACATCCTCCATTCGTATTGGTCAAGTGAATACACCCAGAATTAAAGATCTAATTAGAACCATATCGAAGTACGTATACACTGGGTGGTTTTGAAATCATTTCACAATATTTTTTTTTAAAAAAGAAATATTCTAAAAATATCTCAATCATAATATTTTTTTTTTTTTTTTCCAAATAAGACCGATTAAACTTTTGGAAACATTGAACTTAAAACTTTTGAAAACACTGAACTGCTGACCCCTTAGGATAACACTAAGGGATCTTAACCCCCGCTCTGATACCAATTGTAACAACCCGTTCCCCCGGCGCCCGACCGGGGTTCAGCAAACGGGTGCTACGGACACGTGTCTACTCAATTAGACAACCCTACGTGTCCTTACTGGCCCCAGGAGTCG